CTCCCCCCCATCGTAGAGGTGTGCAGTGGTCTAGTCCTCTCTCTCTCACTCTCTCTTTCTCTCTCGCTCACTCTCTAACCAATCAGCACAGTCAGCACTTAAGTGTGTGACCCACTGGGGGACTGGGTCATTTGTTATTTCACCCGGGATTGGATGTCGTTTGATGGTGCTGCACCGACATGCCGGAATGACCCTGCTGGGCAGGGGGGGGGGCAGGCAGGCAGTATCCCACCGCCTCCCCCCCCCATGTTGTTGTGAGCATGCTGTAGTTTGCGTTTCTGCATTCAGCGCTGCACACGTGCAGTCACACCGATAGCTCTGTGTTCCCCGTGTGTTTATTTACATTTGCATTTCTTTTAATTTGCCGGTTTGGCTTTGGTCTGAGCAGGAAGTCGGCCGCCGGTGCATGAACGTTAAGAGCTGTCAGTCTCCCGCAGAATCGTCCCATAGATCGATCGCCAAGGCAGCACGCGCTCCAACATGGCGGTGAGGTCCGCTCGTCGCATGCAGAGCACGCCGGCTACAGCGGAGCGGCTGCGGCTTTGAGACGCGTCCTGCCCTCCCCTGGTGCTGTAATGTCACCTCTATTGGGAGTGACTGTTCTAAAATTAGGGCTTTAAGGGATCGACGGCGCAGTCGAAGCAGCGCGTGCCGTCGGGGTGGCTGCGGTGGGGTTGCCATGGCAACTGCCATGCCAAAGCCCCGTTTCGGTCCTTTCGCCGTGAGCCTCCAGAGCGGCGCATTCTTCATATCTCACGTTATGGGGTGACCCAAGCCGCTTCCGGCGCGATGACGCAGTCATTACGGTGTGGCAGACGTCTGCTACGTTTACGCATAAGAAGCCCTGTTTTGATATACATTCATGTGCATTTCTGCCTATTGACATATAAACTAAGATCTGTGGTAGGAGCCTTTCTGAAAGACCACTGGCGGTTCCCCGATGATGAACTCTGTAGAAGTTAAGCCTTGCAGTCCGAGATTCCTGCAGGTCCCTGTTTCAAAGTCACCTTTCAGACTGGCCTCCAGAATGAAGACCCTACCCTCTCTCTTCCTGGGACAGATGCTCTTGATCACCTTAAACTTGGTGTCTGGTCACTCTGACGTGGGGTACGAGAATCGCAGCCATGCGAGGTTACATGGGCCAATCCCCCCCATCGTTGTTCTTTTCTAGAGCTTCTACAATTTATATTTCAATATATTTAGTCATACGAGATTCAATTAATAATGGAATTTATTGATTTGCTGTGTATGGTGACGTGACCCAGCTGTAATGAAGTCTTGGTGTTTTCTGCCTGCCCGTGCTGAAGCTTTCTGTGCAGCTTCAACATGCCTGTCTCACTCCTCATATTAAATGTTCTTGTGTCACCCGCTGAGATTATACTCTATCGCTAATAATATTGCAGCCATAAATGTTATCAAACTAATTCTTAAACGCCTCAGATACTTCGCTTATATGTCATGCATTTAAGGCACATTGGAATTCTTTGGCTTTCACAAACCCCTCCCGGTTTTGAGTTAACAGACAAACAGTGATACGGTTATTCTGGCAGTCACAGGATTCAAACCCATGACCTTCCGAACACAAACACAGATCACTAATCTTCCAAGCTACACTCTGCCCCTAAATGCCCCTAAATACTCCTAAATGCCTCAGGCAAGGACATAACTTTGGGTTGAGCACCTGGGGGGGCTTGAGTTCTCCACCCATTTAAGGGCGTCCAGGGGGTGATATTGGCTGGTGGTGATTATTGGAGGGTCACAACCCCCCCATCTCACTCATAATTTATGCTCATTCATCATAAACACACATAGAACTTGTAGGTGTAGCCTGTTAATTGTATTAGCATGGGGGTACCTGTCATCATTTCGCGTCACCATGAGGGTGCTGAACCTTTGGCACTCAGCTCTAACTTGAGCAATATGCTGATATGTGTTGGGGGCGTTACAGTGAAAGTAAATATACACTATGATCTCTGATATACAAGTTTTGTTTTTTCTTTGATGAAAGCTACGTTTGTCCCTTCGCTCATGCCAAGGCCACCTTGCGATTCAAGGCCTTCTGTCCCTGTTGGCACAACAGCCCAGTCACGCTTATCAATTTGCTTCACATTGCGCTGATAGACGATGGCCACGGCACGTCTAACAGCCTTTATCATGTCTTTACAGAAAAAGGAAACAGTCAGGTCTAGTTTTATAAGATCCAAATGCCTCAACAGAGTCACTTTAAGGAAGACGGCAAGGTTGTAACTACCGAGCTGGATGAGCACCACAACTGGCTAATAGATATCCTGTAAGGACCCGCCTGCTGACATGACAGTTCAGGCACACGCACATCTGGCTGTCCTTAAATGTGCCTGACTAGAATTGTATTACTAATTACCATGGAAACAGGTGTGGAAAGGAGCAGTTTCTTAAAAGAACGAGAGAAATTTATTTAAACACACTGCGATTCCAGTAAAGAAACCATTTCAGTAGCAACAGCCCCCCCTTCTTCAACATGAAAACAATCCCTAAGACGTCTTCAGAGTCTTTCATGATGACTCTTGCGGTCAAGTATAATATGAAACAGAGTCATTATATGCATTATATGATTTATATAACAGCAAGCCACTTAGAATATATGTTAGTTCTTTAATATGTTTACGTCTTGTGTAGCTATGTAAATTGGCACTGAATGTAGAAAATCTTTAATGAGCATTTAAGAATTTTGACGGTGGTGTGATTTTATTTATAGACCTTATAAAAATGTTGATTTACAGAGCGGGCGACTGGTCTGTTTGCGGGAATATAATTGAATGCATCTGAAATTATATTAATTGCCCATAAAAGAAACATAGTCATACAGTTTTGATCACGTTGCTGAAATTATGCATGTAGCGGGAGGTGCAGATGTACAAATTTAACTGACCCATATTATCTAATAAAAAGGGAGCCTTTTGCTTGAGGACTGTTAGTCAGAAGAGATATTCAGAGGATTCCTAATTGAAACCCTAGTAACCACAATCACTATGTTTTGTACTTAAAAAAAATGTATAGAAGGTGTCTCAAAGAAAACTAAGTAAAGAAAAGTATCTAACACAGTTCAATAGCTGTTAACTGACACTTATGATTTTTTTAACTTTATATATAAAGTGGGGGCGGTGAATGGCTCAGTGGGCTGGGTCTGTGGTCAGAAGATCACTGGTTCAGGCCTGAGTCTCGGCAGAACAGTCACATGTCCACACGGCCTCAAGCGAGGCCCTCAACCCCCAGCTCCAGGGGCACGGTGCAGCTTGACCCTACACTGTGACCTCCCCCTCCCCCCCAAGCTATGGAGAGCAAGATTCCAGAAGAATTCCAATGTACTTGTGCAAATTGCAAAAAAAAAGGATTTAATCTTAAAAATTATAAAGCAACTCTTGTCATGTGATTTAGAAAAACATCAGCTGTTGCTCAAATAGAGAAGGTGTGACTGTACAGTGTTGGAAAATGTACAGTGACACCTACAGTCACTGGAAAAGTGACCATCAGGTGACCATTTCTTGACGGCTGTGTAGAAAATGACTCCTCCCCCCCCGTTCTCCTTGTTGCCGGAGTAGCATGGTCTATGGCGGGCATCCATCATGCCAATCGTAGGCATGTTACCGTGACGACTGGGAGGGCAGGGGGTCAATACAGCGTAGTGGCTTTTCTGTTCTAGTGCAACAAGCTATTACACCTGTTTCTATTATGGCTTTTTTCTGCTATATATTTACATGGTCTAGGTCAGTTTTATTCACAGCCGCGGGCCAGATGTATTCAAATAAAACTGGAGATGCAAAAGCCATAGCTTGTTGTTTACATACAGTAGTAGCTGTCCATCCATCCATCCATCCATCCATCCATCCAACACCATAACCCCAACCAGCATAGTAGCTGTTTTATGTACAATAATAATTATTATTATTTTCATGTATTTATTTGTTTGTTTCTTTGTTTGTTTATACCTATGATGGTTACTTGTGACCCTGTAGGATCCGGTACTCAATAAATCATTGATTATATTAAAGAAAAACTTAAATCACATTTGTGTTTTCTTTTGTTTTTCATCAAAAACGCCCCAGTGTGTGTTGCCGTTAAGATGCTCACATATTCGATAGCTAGTTCAAGTCAACAGCTCTACTATGATTTGTGAAGTTTGTAATCTGAATAGTGTTGTTCGGTTGTGGTAGTTGAAAGAAACACCAAATATAGTGAATAAGGGAAAAGGTTTAACTTATGAAGAGAACAGTAAGAGTTTATTGTGTTTATTTAAAATGTGGACAGTGGTTAGGGGCTGATTTCGTACTTGCCCTCGGTCTGCATCCAGCTGTCCCCTGGGATGGATGCCGGCGTTTTCCGGAAGCCAGCTTGCCGTCATATCAGGTCGTCCTCGAGGAGGACAGCGCTAATATGTTTTGGCCATGCGGCGCCTCCCTCCCAGACCCCCAGCTACATGCTGCTCTGTCCCACGTGACTCTCTGTGGATCTGAGCTCACGCACAGATATTCTGGTGACGGTCCACAATGTAAACAAAAGGAATTTCACCTGGGAACCGCATAAATATTGAGAAGAATGTTGCCTCAGCTTGTGTCCTCTCGGAAATTTCCTTCGCTACGGACTGTGTGTAAATCGTGTCAGACACCTGGCTACAGTGGCCCACTGAGCTATTTTGACCAGTAAATCGTATTTGTTAAACAAAATGTTTGTTTTTGTTTTGTTTAGCCAGGGTAAGAATAATAGATTTTGCCCTTTGCCTGATGGGAAACCATTAGCATGTGGCAGGTGCAGATTACCAGCTGGAACATGGAGTTACTTCAGCTGTCATGCTTCATTCAACCCTAATCATACTGAACTGAGGCCTGTTACACATTCTTAATAGACAAAAATGACCCACCAAACTCCTCTTAATCCTTCTCAGGAGGTGATTCTTACTAATGACGACTCAGTAGCCGTCGGGTTGAGGGCTTGACGTCCTGACAGTGTTTCTCTGTCTCTTTCAGGTGGAGTCCCGGGATACGTTGAACAGTATTGCACTGAAGTTTGACACCACGCCCAATGAGCTGGTCCAGCTGAACAAGCTCTTCTCCAGAGCAGTTGTGCCTGGCCAGGTGACAGCTTCACGACATCACTTCCTGTCTGCCTGCCCCCAGTCCACTCATATATATTTTTGACTTGATTAAACTTGTATTGAGCTGCTGAGATTTTTAATAGACTGTCCACTAGCTAAATTAATATAAATGCAATTTAAATTAACAAAAAAAATTCTGAAACCAAGACATGGAGAACAAATGCATAAACACACAAATACTCTTTTTTAAACGAGGTCTTCTGCAACTGAACTGACATTGATTTACATAAGGAGTGTTGTGTGACAAGGAGAAATTTAAGAAACAGTCAGTAAACGGCAGTCATATCCTACCATCCTGCACTGACAGGACTGATGCAGCACAGGCCAGAAGCTGCTATATTTGTCAGGGCTGCAGGAAACGAAATTATACATTTGGCTATTTTTAAAAGAATCCATTCTCACTGGGGGGAGGCAAAGGGAGTGTGAATATTTTAGTATCAGTAATGGTGTGAGTCCCAAAAAGAACATTTTTGCCTCCGTTTGTTACCTTATTTTGTATTTATAGATTTCCTTTTTCAAAGAGTTATGCAACTGAACGTCAGTGCATCTCAAATACACGGGAAAAAATATCCTGAAACACCGAAGGTGGCGCTTGTGGGGTTGGGGGGGGGGGGCAGTGCGGCAGTGCGGATCGTCCCCAAAATGGGTGACGTCAGTGTATCCGGGCGTGGCACTTCTGCGGGGGTTTAAGGATGCCAGCCACTCGGAGCCTTAAGCCAGGGCACGGAGACGGGAAAACAGCTGCTTGAAGCCGGGGGGCTCTCCCGACTGGCACCGCACCCGGGTGACGCATGACTAATCACTTTGACATTTATTATTGTTTATTCTGAAGTCCCATAAAACAGACTGAATCCCTCAACCCCATATGTACAGTAAGACGTCTCGGAAGATCACTGTCTGATCAGTGTTTCATTTCACAGTCATTTTCAGATTCACTTTAATGCAATAAATAAACCTTAATGTCATGTAACTCCTTAACCACATGTAACACAGAACAATGTTTAATGTGTCACTGTCCAGTCGGCTTTGACAACGAAAAGGCTATTTTTTTTTTTTAATGGACTGAAAAACAGGTTTGCTAAGCAAACAACTTTCTGCTAATATGTGGGATTTCTCCAAAACCCCAAATGACAATATTTTCACCTAGATAAAGTAGTCATATCCAGCAGCTTTGTAACATTATAAGATCTTATGTAAGTTATGTAATTATATAAGTTCTTGTTTCATTATCCTGGTGAGCGCTGCATGTACAGTTGTGTGTGCACACGTCCGTGTGTGTTTGTCCACGTGTTTCTGTCTGGTTCTGTTGTCGTGCTTCTCGTGTGTGTGAATGTGCGTGTATGTGTGTACGTGTGCACGTGTACATGCGCTTGCACCATTCCGGGGGGGGAGGGGCAATGTCTCCTTTATAGACTGTCTCTGTTACCCGCAGGTTCTCTATGTTCCGGACCCCGAGTATGTTTCCAGCGTGGGAAGCTCACCCTCACTCAGTCCCATCAGCCTGCTGTCTCCCACCTCCTCTGAGGCCGACCTAGAGAAGGTCACAGTAAGTCCACCCCCCCACACACGGTTTACACGCCACTGACAGACTGCAGTGCTGATACCTGTCATGTCTTCTAGCTGGGATAGAGGCAGTGGACATGGTTGCCACCACTCAGGTCATGCAATAGCTTGGGACTTCCGAGGTTTGTGGCCCCCTGTTGGCCACAAATAGTCACTACACCAAATGTGAAGTAAATGCATTCCATATTTAGAAGATATGTAAGCCCAAGAATCGACAAACCCACCCCAGTCCGTGTAAACCCCACGTTGCTGTTTTGATATATCCGCACTCTATTTTTGGAACACAGATTCTGAAAGTAAATTGCGGTTTATTAATGATCAGGGTCCATAATCTCCCAGCATTTTGCTTCTGTGTTCGTGATCGGTCTTCATTAGCCGCTGTGCTGCAGAGGCGTAACGGGTATCCTTTGTTCTGTAACCGACGCAAACAAAATGGTTCCGATGACGGGTGTTCCTCCTTCCTCTGCAGCAAAATGACACATTTCACACGTCTACTGCGTGCGTCAGCTTCCAAGTACGAGGCTTTAAACATAGAGTCGGCAGGACAAGGCAGAGAGCTGGTTCCGAAGCATCCTGCCAAATGTGCTTTTACTGCCAAAGCTTCTTCTCCACACAAACAGTATGTTTCTCTCTAAAGGACATCCCTACATATTTTCCTCTCTAAAATTTTTGTGATAATTTAAAAGAATTGTCTTTGACAGCTAATGTTTTTAGCCATGATGGCTAACAATCCTAGCCTTTTGCACAGCTGTGTAGCTTATTAGCTATACGGGTTACGTGCCTTGTCCAAAAGTGTAACGGCAGGGATCCTGCTCAGATCTAAACCAGTAGCCAGTTATGTCCTTAACTGTTATGCCCCCTGCTGGCCTTTTATTATTTGTGTCCCGAGTTGTTATATTTTAGTTGATGGTGGGTTCTGAAGTCTCATCAATTTTAAATATTGACTCTGTCGGTGGCATGGTCTCTCAGTAGGTAGCATTGTCGCCTCACACCTCCAGGGTTCGAATCATGCACCTGCTCTGGATGACGGTCGCGGCGGCTCCCCGAGGAGTGTGGATTTCCTCCTGTGGTTATGAGTTTTTCCAAGCTGGCCATTGCGTGTGAGCCCTGTGATGGACTGGCATCCCATCCAGGCTGTGCTCTAGCTCTATTTCTCTATTTCCCGGGATAGGTTCCAGACCCACCTTGAGCTGGTGCCGGATCAGGGAAGTGATGACGGATGTGGAACCCGAAATCTTGATTATTAGTTGTTAGCGGTGACTTACGGACAACAGCAGCTGAGACACAATTCTCCTAATAATGACATAATCCGCTCAGCCGATGCACCACTACCCGCTGATCTCAGATCAGTCGATGTTTGGAGTGCATTTCTGGCTTGATAATCACATGCCTGCAGGACACCGTGCGAATTCGGCCCTGGCGTCAAGGGTCCGTCTGTTACGGGTCTCTGCGGTGAGCTTGGCATCTCAGAGACGGTATTGGATCTGAACTCCACCCACCCCCCCCAAAAAAAAAATAAATAAATAAACTTGGTAGCCAAACTAACTGCAAACTTGGAGCTTGGAGCCCTTATCTATATAGGTCAGGCCTTTGGGAATGGGTTGTATTTTATTTTACTTTATGTGGTGGGGGGGTTGGAAGGCAGCAGGTGTAAGCGAGAAGAAATTAAGTTTTTAGACAAGAAGACATGCTAATTGGTGTTTAGGAGACCAGCTGAAAGGCAGTCACACTCCCTGACACCCAGAGAATTTATTTCTCATAAAAATGGTTCATTCATTCATTCATTTTCCCTCAAACTATTTAAGGGAAAGAGCATGTACTGTGAATAAAGGGGGGAATCAGTGGACCAAGGGGGCTCCAGAGGGACAACGAGAACAGAGCCTCAGGACACCACAGCACTATCGTCTTAATTAGCTTTTAATTGGGGAGCATTTTAACGGGTCTGCACGGGAAGATGCTCCGATGTGCCCTCGGAAGATGAAGCGAGCCGTACGTGGTGCAGGTCTACAGGATAATCATGACCCTTGATGCTTGGTATGTGCAACGCCATGTCTACCAGCACTAGATGATTCGATGCGTTGATGCGCTCACTTTCATCATTTAAAATCTTAAAGCAATGAACAAATAATTCAGTGAGTATGAGCTCATATCCGGTAGGTCATGGGTTCAAATCCCGTGGACAGCAAAATAATTATTTTGCTGTTGAGCTGATGAGCAAAATAGTTAATTCCAGCGATTCTCTGGGTGCAGAGCTCAATCTCTTCTCACTTGTGTGTTGCTTTAGACACTAATTGTCTTCTGAATAAATGTAAACAGTCCTGTGGACCACCTAAACATGCTGTTTGCATCTCTGACATCTCCTATTGGACATTACTCAGTTTGTACTATGATAAATTGCTGATCTTAAACCTTAGTCCCAGGTACCGATTATATATCACATGTTGTAGCTGGGTCCTCATTAATTAGTTGAGGTCTTCTTTGGGGCTGTTGACCTGCAACGTTCACCGGACGTTGCATTCACCTATCATTTGCTTTTCTCCGAAGCGAATGATAGGTGAGTGCATTAAGTGACAGGAGGAGAGCACTGGCGTAACCCCGCAATCGGTAATGCGACGGGGGGAGGGGTAAACGCAGCACTACTGCCTGCGCTGGAGTGAAAAATATTACCGCGCGAGACAGATAGCATCAGCGGAAAGACCGCGCTCTGGTAGGGCACACAGTAAGGATTCCTTAGGCTAGCCTTAAAGCTCAGAGGATAATTACCAGTGACACTACCGTTAATTATTGAATTAGCTAGCTAGTTAATTGTCGGTGCATGCTGGGCAGGGCTTTGCTTCTGTTGAATCGGGCCGGATCGGTGCAGGGTGATGGACGGTTTGCAGTTAGTGGTGTTCCGTCCAACAGCTGGACGGGGCCCATAGTTCAGTGAGCGCCTTTCTTTTTGAGGGGACGGGTTTCATGTTCGGCCCCCGACCCTCCGCTGTGGCAGCACCACCCTTTCTGCCGTAGACTTGCTAAAATTAGGGACGGCGGGAGGTGTGCAGTTTCGTGTGCAGTGTGGGGGGGTTGAACGTGTGAGTGGTCCTGGCAAACGGGCAGGCGAATGAGAGCATGCGTTTCCGGTCCAATCCAAGGGCTGCTGAATCCCCCCCCCCCACACACACACACCCCGTCGCCCCCGGCTCTCTTCTGTGCAGGCTCACTCATAGCGCAGAATTTAAGAGGCTTGTTTGTGGTGTGAAATAGATTGTAAGCGCAAAGACAGCATTAAGATTACGATCTTTTTCCTGCACCAGCTGCATAGTTACACCTGTACTACATATTTTTGTCCACCAGGTGGATGATTTTTGTGTTTTAATTTGAGTTGTGTGGTTTAACTATTCACAGTAGGTAGGTGAGGTTAATGGTAAATAAAAATGACCAGTCTGTGTCTTCATAATATGCGTAAACTGTCCTTAAGGGTGGTATGAACTGATCTGTACATGTAAGTTCCGTATAAGGATGTAAAGTTAAACTCGGCATAGTGTAAATATAACGGCAGCAATGTGTACTGGCACAGGTTCTGGGGAAAACAGACTCCGTCGGTTCCTTCCGGATGGCACGCCCTCCCGGCGCGGACTGCCTGTCCTATTATCCGTGATCCTCGGCGTGAATCCGGGCGCCCGTCGCCTGCCGGGCCGGACCGCTGCCACGTCCTCGGGCCGGCCTTTCCAGCGCCCACCGAGAGGAGTGGCCAGATGGCCGCCGGTCTGGATGCCAGAGAATCTGCTGAATCCTCTCCCACTGTGGCTAATGGCTGCCCTCCCCCGCACGGCCACCGGGCGGAACGTGCGTCTCTCCTCGCCTGGACCTCATGTGGCCTCACGCCTCTGCCGTCCGTCTCCGGGGGTAGGGTTTCCGGACACCCGCTGGGGTTTGGCCGCCGGCACCGGCTCCGGGGTCCGCGGGGCACGATTTGTGCGTAAATTCTTACGTAAGACGTAAACACGTTACTGTGTAAATAAGGGCCAGAGGATAAATATGGACGTGTTTTTTTATTTTTTCCCACTCCCACTTTGGCAGACTCTGGATGTCTGAATCTCCCACGACTGCTCATTTGAAATCAGTAAAAGCTGTCTGGGAAGACAAAAGGCATTTAAATACACCCATTCGTAAGGCAGCGTGAAAATAAATCTCTGAGCATTGATTCAGACCGGATTGATCCGTGATGCAGGCGAGAAACCCATAGAGTTTTATCGCTGTCTGCTTTGGTGATGCTGCTGGGGGTGATTCACCCTGGTGGGGCAGCGAGGAGTTTTCCTAGAATTTCATTTAAGACTGAGCTTGAGAAACGAGTGCCTATATTTGCAGACTGGCCAAAAATAGACGCCCGGGCGAAGATATAGGAATGAATAAAAAGCTGTGCTGACTCGATCAGACTGTACATCCCGACAGATTTCCTCTAGGACAGAAGGGCCGGGAACATCTGGATTAATGGCTTGCAGGTATCGTTAAAGAATAATGGGAAACCCCTCTGTACAGTGTTTTCCTCCAGCAGACGGACCCACTCCCATAAGTGTCTGTGCAGATCCGCTCTGCGCATAATTAGCCGCGGATGAGCATGGTGGCCTCGGTACGAGCTGACGGAATGGCAGATCAGCTCGTTAGAGCGTCGTCCTTTGCCAGTGTCTGCTTGCCCGGAGCAGAAAGAAAAGGGGCGTTACAGTGACTCAGGGAGGAAGCCTTGTCACAAGCACAGATCTGCTGCTTTCATCTATGCAGTGTGTCAGTAGATGTATGAGATAGTGTCAGCATATTGATGAGGGTGTGTGTGTCTGTGTGTGTCTGTGTGTGTGTGTGTGTGTGTCTGTGTGTATCTTACCAAACTTGCGGGTGCAGATGAGGGGCAGATTATCCATACTCAGGCTAGGGGCAGATTAGCCAGGTTTAGGTTAGGGGCAGATTATCCATACTCAGGCTAGGGGCAGATTAGCCAGGTTTAGGTTAGGGGCAGATTATCCATACTCAGGCTAGGGGCAGATTATCCAGGCTCCAGTTAGGGGCAGATTAGCCAGGCTCCAGTTAGCGGCAGATTATCCAAACTCAGGTCAGCAGCAGATTATCCAGTCCTGGGTTAAGGGCAGATTATCCAGGTTTAGATTAGGCTTTATTCTGCTTGACTATTTGACTAAGCAGGCAGGCAGTACTACGTCCTGCTGCCCTTCACCCCAGAGTGACGCCTCATTCCATAGCCACCGATAGTCTGCTCATTGAAGTAGTCCGTGCAGAGAGTATCGGGGGTGCCCTGGCCTGGGCACCAGAGCCCCAAGATCTTCAGATCACTCTCCCCCGGCATTTATCCAAATGTCCTCTCTGTTCTGCAGCCCAGCGGCTGGGCAGAGTCTCGTCCCAGCTCTCCCCCTACCAGCCTGCTCCTGAGTGATGCCGTTTCATTTCATCCTGTGCATTTGACCTATTCTGGTGTAAGATAAGGACAAACTGCAGGAAAGTCAAACTCCTAACTACGGTGCTATGAGAATGAAGTGCGGGCTGATACGTTACGTTGTAGGTCTCTTTTAAAATGGGTGTAAATTGTCACGTCAGGTGTGAGGAAGAAGAAAACCAAACACTTCCAGAAGGGGGCGCCGGTGCTGCATTCAGCATGTGAACAGCAGCTGACAGGTATCTCTCTCACTGCGCTGTAAATTAGGACTCTGATGGGCCCCCCCGGCCAGAAGCCCCGCCTCCCCCCTCCACCGGGCTCCGCCCCACCCGAGTGGTGTCATCAACTTCCGAGGAGGAAGAGGCCCTTACTGAGAAGTTCCTCAAGATCAACTGCAAGTACATCACAGACGGCAAGGCAAGCCCCACATCCGTTAGACGCACCTGCGCACACGGAGGTGCAGTCTCACGCACACAGAGTCACACTCACGCAGACTCACGGGCAGAGTGACACACATCAAGACACCCAGTCTCACACACACAGCTCATGTCAGACAATTTCTCCAGTGAGTCGATTTTCCTGGGGGAGCCATTATCAACGTCTGATCATAATGCAAACAGCAGTGAACTCCCAATCAAACACCTGTGCACATTCTGCATAGCCTGCACAATTTTCGGTGCAGTTTTGAATCATTTAAGCCTGAGCACAAAAGATAAATGTGTACTTAGAACTCCTCTGTATTAGACAGGGAGGAAGGAAAAGCCCCTTAAAGGTTGAACTGACAGCCATCTTCAGCATCAAACCTGTACACACAAGTTCAGTCAGAAAATACGAAAGTAGTGAATGGGGGCGCCGAAATGGACTGGGGTCCCCTCCAAGGGAAAGACCTCAGCTCTACGATGGACCTCAGCCTCAGCCAGGGGAAAGACCTCAGCTCTACGATGGACCTCAGCCTCAGCCAGGGGAAAGACCTCAGCTCTACGATGGACCTCAGCCTCAGCCAGGGGAAAGACCTCAGCTCTACGATGGACCTCAGACTCAGCCAGGGGAAAGACCTCAGCTCTACGATGGACCTCAGCCTCAGCCAGGGGAAAGACCTCAGCTCTACGATGGACTGACATCCCTTCTGGGGACAAACCTCAGCCTCGCCATGGACTCTCAGGATTAGCTCAACCCAGTGCCTTGTCCTGTCTGAGATCAGCTCCAAACCTTACCTGCTATCGATGTTTAGAAGAAAGAAAAAATTGAATCAGACTAGATAGACAGACAGACAGACAGACAGACAGACAGACAGACAGACAGACAGACAGCCTTTATTGTCCTATAACGATATTTGTCTTCACAGTTTGTTCCAATACAAACACAAGTACATTACCGGCCTCTAACTTGTTAAACATGTTGGGCACAAATACATAAAACGGCACATAAACAAATACACACAATATACACCCAGTTAGTAGCAGAGATTTGATGGGTACAAGGTTAATGTAGCAAGTTCAGTGCAGCTATGACAATAGGGACAAAACAAACAGAATGTTCCCTGCTACTGATTCTGTGAGAGGGTTTGAAATCCAGCAGTGCTGCATCTACTCATTGATCACCGGTGGAGCAAGCAGCACATGGCCCTGTCACGCAGCCCCCCCCCCAGTCCCCTCACACAGTCCCACCACGCAGCTCCACCATGGTTTAACATGCCCTCCCCAGTTCTGCCCTCTCACACCTTTCCATCTCAGGTTCATGCACAGCACACAAGCCACTTTCAATCTTTCTCCGTATTTTTCAACTTCCACTTAAAACTTCCCCATATTCTGTTACTCTGTTTCTTTTCCTCCATCCCTCCATTTTTACACTTCTCCCTTTTCTGTTTTCCTCTGACTCAGGTTCTCCCCTTCATCTGTCTCATGCTCAGTTTCGTATCTCTTCCTCCATCTTTCCATGTTTCCTTTTTCAATCTTTGTGTTTTATCCCTTCATCTCTCACGCTCCCTCTGTTTTCTTTTCTGTCTTCCTCCACCTTCCCCCCTCTTTCTTTGCTGTTGCCTTTCTGCCTGTCTTTTCTGTCATCTACCTTGGCATTTCCTCCTCGTCCCCGTCTCCTATCCCCCACTCTCAGATCTGTGTGTGTGTCCCCATCTTCCTTAAAGGGAGCCGTCAGCGGGGTTCTGCTGGTCACTCCCAACAACGTCATGTTCGACCCTCACCGGACGGACCCGCTGGTGATGGAGCGCGGCTGTGAGGAGTACGGCATCATGTGTCCCCTGGAGGAGATCATGTCGGCCGCTGTGCACCGCGAGATAACCGACAGCAAGATCAGAGAGTCCATCCCTCAGTAAGTGCCTCTTTCATACACAAGGTCAGCCAGCACTTCTGTGTCTGTTCCCCTGTCCTGTTTGCAGGCCTTCTTTAGGAAGCCTCTCAAAACATTAATGTGACCATTAATAGATGTTACCCGGGTTACGATGGTCCATGTTACAATATTTTGACTTTACCCTGGGTATACCAATTCCATTCTGATTTTCGTTTTCAGTACATTATTCAATAAATTGCATGAGATAGTCAACATTTTATTATAAAATAGGATTTCCATTAATAATTTTGCCCAACTCTAGGCTAATGTAAGTGTTCTAAGCATGTTTAAGGTAGGCTAGGCTAGGCTATCATGTTTGTTAGGTTAGGTGTACTGTATAAAAATGCATTTTCACCTTACGATATTTTCACCATCGTAACCCAGGGACTGTCTGTACTCCAGAGTTAACAGTGAGTCTACAACTACATATTTATTTTTTTGAAAGAGAATAATGATTTTTTTTCAGGAGGTCAGTGCTACCCACAGTTTTTGTTCTGGGCTTATGAGATGCTTTTAAAGAGCATTTTAGATCATTTCCAATAGCATAACTGAGATGACCGCAGTGTCCCCCTCAGCTTTGACCTTTATGGTACAGTCCAGTTTCATTTGATCAATAGCAAATAGCAACTCCTTTTCATATGAGAATGGTATTTCCCTGTAGGGACCTAGAGCAGTTGTTGGGGAGGGACCCATGTCACCCAAAGAGAATACCGCGGAGTCATGCTGACGAACCAGAGACTCGGGGGCGGGACGTGGGTAACGACAGCTCCAGCACAGCCCCCCGCAGCACAGAGGAGTCCTTTTCCGAGGACGTCTTCACCGAGTCGGAGCTCTCGCCCATCCGGGAGGAGCTGGTGTCCTCCGACGAACTGCGGCATGACAAGTCGTCCGGGGCCTCTTCCGAGTCCGTACAGACCGTCAGCCAGGTCGAAGTTGCCGGAAACCTGGAGGCGGTCGCTGTCGCCTCCACACCCTCGACCCGGCAAGCGGAGGAGCCGATGCTCGTGGCGGACGCAGGACCAGGGTGTCAGGCCACACAGCGTCCTTCCTCCACGGGCTCCAAACATCCCAGCATGGATGAGGTACCGGGGATGCCCGGCCTGGAGGGGAACAAGTCTTACAGCGCCTCGGATGCACAGGGATCCACCGCTGCGGCCTCCCAGCCCTGCGGTCAAGACAGACCCGATGGTACCAGACCGGCTGGGGAGTCCGGCCAGGACACGGAGGCCGACGTGGAGGAGCTGAGAAAGATGTGGAAGAGTCATACTATGCAACAGACTAAGGAGCAGAGGGAGACGGTGCACATGGACGTGATGGGAGCCAAGGAAGGGCAGATGACGCCAGAAGGTAGGGGGCACTGTAGGGTGATGCTGGGGGTGTAGGGTGGTGGGGGCTGTGGGAATAGAAGTACATAAAGGAGGCTGTCATTTTTGTAGGGTGTCAGCATGCAGAAGGAGTCCCTGAAAACGTTGTTCAGGATTTTTCTAGTACCTCCTCTTCAATGTATCTGGTTTATTTTCGACACAGGATCCACAGACAAAAAAAAATCTATTTAATTTCCTCACGACCAGCAGACATTCCCACTCATGCAGTTCTGAATGTACATGTCGAATGCGGGGTACTCACACTGAGGCTCTTTCCAAGCTTCTCAGCGACTTCATTACCTCGCAACTAATTGCGGCAGACTCCCCGAGGATGCGGTAAAGGCATTTAATCCGGGCCCTGGCCCAGAGAGATATGCCGCGATACACACGGGCAGTATTACCTGACACAGCAGAAATCAGCATCACGGTCTTCTTCAGGGTCCCTCTGAGGGTAAAGACTTTGAGTTAACGCCCAAAAGTCTCGGTGGATTCGGTCCAAACCATTTAGCTTCTTACGTTTAAGTCGGTCGTGATTCATTGAGCCTTTCCTCCCTCCACCCGAGTTGCCGCCGGTTAAACTGGTCCCCAGTGCATTTGGTTTCCTGCTTCAGATTACACAGGTGAGAGTGTCTATCCCCAGTAAAGCTCTAAGAATGTCAAATTTAATCTGTACTTAATAAGTTACACCAGGCGACTGAGTGGACTTCCATGCTATTTCAGTATCTGGGAAGGAGTCGGCTGTTATTAGATCTGTCCCAGAAATCTGTGAGCATGTGTAGATGCACATCCAGCACAGAGCTCCCAGCAAACCAGTTAAGATGAACAGCATGCATAATGCTTCAGTCTGTTCTGGGACCAGTAACCTGATACTGAGAGACTATGACAGTGCCCCCCCACGTTTTATACAGTTTCATCCGTTCGTCCATTTTGCCTCCAACTGAAGAGCTTGTTTTTGAGACCCAAGTCGGGCTGCTTCGTCATATGTTACAGTATTGGAAGCAGAACTCACTCAGTCCTCATCTAATTCAATGAAGAGCTTTGATATTAATTCCAAAATTCACCAAGTCCACAGAATTCCTTTCAAAAACAGGTCCCGTGGACTGAGAGAGCTTTGGGAATTTGCCCCTCCGATACCCTGAACAGGGTTGCTGACCTAGTGACTGAAGATCCCATCATATAAAAATCCACAGTACTTTCTGGCCTATTTATTATTAGTAATAATTGCTGTTCCTTGAAAATAATCCCTTTCTGTTTGATTCATCTTCTTACTGCTTATCCTGCTCTGGGGGCCTGGAGCCTGTTCCAGGCAGCATAAGGCACCGGGGGGGGCGGTGGGTTACAACCTGGACGTGATGTCTGTCCATGGCAGGTACATCCACACAATCATGTACTCTGCAATTGAGAGGCAGCAGCCTAACCATATGTCTTTGGACTGCACACACCACAGTACCCCAACACAACACGGGTGAAACGTGAACCCAGGACTCGAGCCTCAAACCGGGAGGTGCAAAGCCACCACGCCAGCCTGTGTATATTTACAAGTGAACATAATTCTTCCTGGTAAGTCATCGGATCGCTGCTAAGCAATCCAAGGCACAGTCAAGTTCACGGTATCACAAGGTCAAAACAAAGGTTTTCCGTTGAATGGTGCCGTACAGGAGAGAGAACCTTTTAGCGAGCGTTTTACAGCTCAGTAATGCATATTGGAATACGAAAAACAGAGGGGGGTGGGTTAGGAGTGACTCTTAATCACTGAAGTCTTTGTGGTTTACCACAGCTGGAGAGAGACAGATCAGTGGTATATGGAATACAGTATGTCTCTCTGTCTGTCTGCCTGCTGTTTCCTGGTCCCCATATGGGAAAACTCAATTTTATAAAAATTCGTGACTGCAATGAAAAAACTAAAAATGCAGAAACACTTGTATTTTGTCTGGTTACTTGGTTAAGACTGGGTAGGGGATAACACTCACATGTTCACCTCGTAATCAGATCTATACAGACGCAAGGGAAATTCAATCTTAAAGACATTAAGTAGCTTGTGTAATCCAACTTAATTTGAGGTCCCAGTTAGATTTCAGTAGTATGCTAACAATCATGACAATAATGTAATTGTTGGTATTCTAATTGTGTATAATCATGCATCTTATTCAGTAGGCTGGATACACACACACACACACACACACACACAAAGTCGTGTAATCATGTCTTTTTGGGGAACACTCATTCATTTCTATGGGAAAAATGCTAATGCTAACTATGACACCCTTATTAGATGGAGTGTCTTTGGAAAACAGGCTCTAGTTTTGCTGTAGGTTTAACCATTACAGACTGCTTGATTAAATTAGCATCATCGACTGTAAAGCACTTTCTAGCTCAGGTGTGTTTAAAAGTAGATCAGAGGGAGGAACTCGCAGTAAACCATTACCTGGCATTACAGGTACAGCACTGGCCCTCACCTGGTGCTAGCCCTCCAGCACTGGCCCTCCCTGGTGCTAGCCCTCCAGCACTGGCCCTCCCTGGTGCTAGCCCTC